AATGACCATAACCTTGCCCCTTGTCAGCTCTACCATACACCCGGGAATTCTGATTTTGGCCATATTTCTTGAAAGAATATTTACTCTTGAGCCATTCTTATTGCTTCCACTGCTCATTCCACTGTGGCCTGGCTTTTACCCACACAGTTCCAGTCCCCCTGCCCTCAAGAATGTTATTTACCTCCTATATTCAACTGAGTAAGAGACATCTCCACTACATATCTTCCTATATTACAAAACTCAGAGTGTCTAAAATAGAATTCATTATCTTTCCCAATCCCTAGTCCCCAGTCTACTTCCAATGCCCCCTACCTTAGCTGGTTGCTTCGTGAGTCCCCACTCCAGAAAACCAGGAGTCATTCTTGAATCCTTACTTGAATCTCCATCCTCATGCCTTCATTATCTGGTTAGACTGTTCAGCAGCATCCTAACTTGCCTCTCCGCCTCTAGGCTCTGTTTCTTAGGGCCTAAATCCCTCCCCACCAAGTCTTAGCCACATTGTCCTAAGAATGACTGAGTAACCCTTTTCCCTGCTTTTCACCTTCTACTGACCTCTTTTCATCAGTGTCATTATCAGCCTCATTTGCTCTCTGCCTACTTTGCCAGTCTCATCTCCCATCACTACCCACCAGTCTCCTAAACTTGACCTTCCTGCATTGTCTTAAGTTGTCATAGTTTCTAGAGCACACGTTGCCCATACTGTGAACTCTGCCTGAAGTGGCTTTCTGGCCCATCACTGGAATTTTTTAGCTTTCAAACCCAGCTCAGATGACACTTCTTTCTCCCACCTTCTAATCATTCCCTCCACACCTTTTATCACCAGGTTCTGTCATTGCACTATTGAATTGCACTATATTGCAAATAGTTTTGTTTATGGCTCTTTCTCTCCACATTGTCTGGTGTGTGTTGTATTGAATGATGTCCTCCATTGAATTTATTATTTTACCCCTTGGTTCATGCCACCATCTTCCAACCATTCTTCTCCAACCATTCTTTCAACCTCAGCTTGTTTCCTAATTCAGATTGCAGTAGTAGCCTTCTAATTGCTTCTCCCCACCTCTAGTTCTTGCTCCCTTAAGCTATTCTCCACGCTGTGACAACAGTGGAATTTCTAAAATGTTATCCTCTAACTCAAACCTAAGGAGCTCTGGTGGTGCGGTAGTTAAAGCATTTGGCTGCTAACCAAAAGGTCGGCAATTCGAACCCACCAACCACTCTGCAGGAGAAGATGAGGTAGTCTGCTTCTGTAGAGATTTACAGCTTTGGAAACCCTATGGGGCAGTTCTCTTCTTTCCTATAGGGTCACTATAAATTGAAATCAACTCAGTGGCAGTGAATTTAGTTAACTTAAATCTGGTTCCTTGTTTCCCACAGTCTCAAGTCCAGACTCTTCAGAGACAAGCCTGTCATCTTGCCCTCTTATTTCATCTCTCATCTTCCTCTCCCACCTCATCTCCTGCTACCCTTACTTGCCCACACTTGGGCCCTGTATCTGACACCTCAGTCTTGCCACACTACTTACAGTTCCATGGAAACACTATGAAATGTCCTTGGTAAAGTCTGCTCCTCCCCATCCCATCCCAACATTGACAACTCCTCCTTCTGTGCCCCTAATATCACTAGCACCTGTTGGTTATACCCTCCCCTTCCCAGACCTCGTGCAGTGTGCAGCTGACCACATTGCAGTTACTTGCTTTACCAGTCTGTCTCTCCTGCCCACAGTCTTGGGCTATAGGCCAAAGGGGCTGCATTACCAGTGTACAGCTCTTGGCCTGATGGAGGACCCATGTAGGCTGAGATTGACACATGCATGCATTGCAGTGCAGAACAGAGGTCTGGATGGGAAAAGAAAGCAGGTAGACCAGGACTGGGTGGCTCTCTCGCCTTGTACGTTCTGGCACAGAATCCCAAGAAGTCTCAAACTCAAAAAAAAAACTCACTGCCATCAAGTTGATTCCAACTCATAGTGACCCCCTATGGGTTTCCGAGGTGTTAACCTTTACAGAAGTAGATTCCCCAGTCTTCCTTCTGTGGAGTGGCTGGTGGGTTTGAACCGCTAACCTTCTGGTTAGCAGTCAAATGCCTTAGGGACTGTGCCACCAGAGCTCCTTAAGAATTCTAAATTTGAACCCGGCCTTCCAGGCTCTTGTGAAGGTATAATTTGTCAAGATCGAAAGATAGGACATATTTCATTTAGGAGGAGTTTGTACATTTGATTTATACCTTCTGAAAGTTTAAACAGATGATGTGTCAGGGTCCCTTTGTACTCTTGCCCCAGGCCTGCAAATGTTACAGCGGACCTGGCTGTGAATACACACACCTTGTTCATTTATCATCATCCCTCCAGCTCTTAGCCTGATGTCTGGCACTTAGTGAACAGCCAACAGAGTTTAATAAATGATTGGCAACATCTCTCATTTTAAAGTTTGTGAAGACTAATTGAAAAAATATATCTTGGAAGGGTCTAGTTGCCAAGAGATAATTTCTGGGGGGAAAGGAGATGTAGGAAGAAAAAGATAATTTGGAAATCTAGCAAAAAGAACCTTATAAATACAAAACAATGGCTCACATTTTATATAAAAATTAAACAAACCCACTGCCATTGAGTTGATTCCAGCTCATGGTGACCCTATAGAACACAGTAGAACAGCCCCATAGGGTTTCCAAAGCTGTAATCTTTATGGGAACAGTTTTCTCCCATGGAGCAGCTGGTGGGTTCAAATGGCCGTTTCAGTTGATGGCTGAGTGCTTTAACCACTGTGTCACCCATGCACCTTCCACATTTTTATATAGTGCTTTGTAATTTTCAAAGTACTTTTCATCTGTAATAGAATCTGGTCTCAAAATACTCCTGTAAAATGAGCATAGATAACATTGTTAGCCCAGTTTTACAGGTAAGGAAATTGTACTTCAGAGAAATTAAGCCAAGGACCCAAGTTCTCAGAGCAAGACAGAGACAGAGCATACACTAGAAGTTAGATACTCATTGTTCTGTTTTGTTTTGTTTTGTTACAATGTATCAGACATGCCATATTTCCCAACAGCTAAATACATTTTATTTTTTTTATTGTGATTTGAGTGAAAGTTTACAGAGCAAATTCATTTTTCATACAGCAGTTCATATGCATTTTGTTTCATGACAGTAACTGCAATTCCTCACTTCCTCCCTATAGTTCTTTCCTGTGTCCTTTCCTATGCTTTCCTGCCCCCTGAGCTGTCTCCCTGTGCAAACACTACCATTCTGTTCTCCCATGATTGATCATTCTAAGGAGTGTATCTATCTACCTGATGTAAATCTTCACCCGGTATGTCTGTCTACTATTTGGCTGGAAGCCGTGGGAATGAGTTCAGTTCCAGACCTGAAGGGTAACTAGGGGTCATAGTCAACTAAATGCATTTTGGAAAGTAATTCTTATCTTTCTTTTTTCAGTGCCTTTCAACATAATGGTCAAAACATAGGCCTCTCGCCCTTTCTGGGGACCCTGAACACTGGAGGATCATTGCCAGATCTTACCAACCTCCATTACTCGACACCCCTCCCAGCCTCCCTGGACACTGGCGACCACCTCTTTGGGAGTATGAGTATGGGGAATAGTATGGGCAGCCTCCCAGCTGCTATGACTCACTTGGGGATAAGAAGCACCTCTGGTACGTATCCTCTGCTTGGTAAGGACCTTGGTCCTGTCCCCTGGTGGCTTAATCATAGGTGGTCCCCAGCCATCTAGCCTGTGCAGTGGATCACTGAGTGAAAATGACTGCACTTGAAATAGAGCTGACATTTCCTTTGGTGGTTTTATTTCTGTGGATCTGATGAGCTCTGGAGCAGCTCTGCTGAACGTTGTTCTTTATTGTCTTTTCTAGCCCAGGGAGCTTGGGGAATCATATTTGGGAGTCAGGAAATAAGGGTACATTCTATGTGAGGTGAACAATGTTAGTCACTTTTATCAACATATGAGAATATAATTAAAGCTCTCAAAAAAAAAAAAAAATTGCCATCAAGTCTGTTCCAATTCATAGCCACCCTATAGGGCACAGTAAAACTGCTCCATAGGGTTTTCAAAGCTGTAAATCTTTTACAGAAGCAAACTGCCACATCTTTCTCTCGTGGAGCTGCTGGTAGATTTGAACTATTAACCAGCCTTTCAGTTAGCAGCTAAACGCTTAACTGTTGCTCCACTAGGGCTCCTATAGAACTCTCTCTAGATCCCTTCAATGACTCATTATATTTCAAAAGAGAATATTTCAAATTATAGAAAATTTACATTGGATACAATGAAAATATTTATACACATCTGATCTTTATTTGTCCTTGGGGGTTGGAAACATTACATCTGAGAATGATAACTTCAGCAAATTACATGCTGCAACATTGTATATAGTATATATTACTAATGATAAGATGTTAAAAAAAAAAAGGATGATCGTAAGTGTGGCTCATTGTAATACATAAATTGGGCATTACCTGTGTATGTATTAAATAGAAATATATTACAATTCAAAATTGTGGGTTCCAATTTTCAGAAGTACTTAAAAAGGTGGCATGTAGCCATGTTTAAATGCTACGCATAATGTGATTTGAGTTTTACTATATGGGTTATATTGTAACAGTTCAAACCCCTTGTTGAAAGATGACAACATCTGCTTGAACCTTGGCAGATGCTTGTCAATATCTAGAGCTGGCATTAATCCCTCTCATTCCTAGTAGCTGGTACGCTCCCTGACTATCACACTCTCTAGTGTGGAATGTTTCCTTTGGAAGGGATCCTCAGTGATGACTTGCAGTAGAGGAAGTGCTTACTGGTTTCTACTCCAGGTTCTAGGAAGTGTGATAGAAAACAATGAGACTTGTCCACAAAAATCAGAATTCACTCCCCAAATGAAAGTGGTCCCTACAGAGTGGTCACTGGAAGGTTCTCTAACAATTGCGATGATGCTGTCCTTGTGCATCACAGTGGTTGATTTGAAAAATTGATTGTGTTTTTGTTTTGTTTTTCATTTTATTATCCATAACAATAGCAAGTCTTCAACTACTGACTACTGCGGGTTTTGCTTTTTAGCAATCAAGTCATGTGTGGCCAAATCTAATAAGAAGAATGAGTGATCAGGCCAGATGATGCTATTTTGGGTTCTGTGTGTTTCAGAGAAATGTGCTCTATGGCCCAGACTGCTCTTGGTGGTGCAGACACCATTCAGCTCTGGGTTTACTTAATTGGCTTCGTAGTAGATGCTCTCAAAACCTTTAGGATTTCTAGATTCAGAGACTGGGCAATCCACCTTTTAGAGTGAATTCTCTATGAGCAAGTACATTCTGTCTCACAGAATGTGTAGCAGCTACACTCGGTCTTGGAGAAGCTGACAATTTCTAGAACAGCCTTTAACACTCCATTTCAGCTGATACACTGTGTGTAGTCACTAGCTATTATTTTATAATTCTTAAAATGCATGTTGTTGTTGTTGTTGTTATGTGCCGTCAAGTCGGACCCGACTCATAGCGACCCCTCCTTGGGTTTCCGAGGCAGTATCACTACGGAAGTAGATTCCCCCATCTTCCTTCCGAGGAGTGGCTGATGGGTTTGAACCGCCAGCCATCTGGTTAGCAGTCAAGTGCCTTAGCATAGGACACAAAATTTACACATTTTTGGAAAGATATTTGAGCTCTCTTTAAGAGTAAATTTTTGGTGATCTAAATTCAGATCTTTAGCTAGAATTCTCTCTTGATCCACCTGAATCCCTGGCATTTCTGTGGAGAGTTGAGTGGTGGGATACCCGCATAGAATTTTATCATGGACATCTTTCCTATAGCTTAAAAATAATTTTTCCCACTAAAAAGACTTAATTTTATCATTACTTCATTTATCATAACTTTTAACATTTCTCACATTTCAAAGTACTTTATAATTGGTTTAAACCTCACAATAGATGGTTTTTGGCTCTAATGATTGAACACTTAAATTCTTATCAACATGAAATAACACATGTTCACCTCACCTGCTAGTCTGAAAATGATGGGTTTAACTTAAAACACAGGTATTGCTCATAAGATTCCTAGCAGCAGCGGCAGTGGCAGCATTCACTAAGTGAAGCTCCTCCATGCCATCCCCTGTGCCAGGTTCCTGGGATGCCACCAGGCCTGGGATAGAGTGCCTAGCCCAGGGAGCTGGTACACCAGCAGCCCCTGCCATGGAGGTTTGTGCTAAAATTCACCCCCTACCCGAAATTAAGGGAGCTCTGGTAGCATAGTGCCTAAACTTGGCACTTGACTGCTAACGAGGAGGCTGGCGGTTCAAACCTACCAGCCACTCCTCGGAAGGAAGATGGGGCAATCTACTTCCATAGTGATACTGCCTCGGAAACCCAAGGAGGGGTCGCTATGAGTCAGATCTGACTCGACAGCACATAACAACAACAACACCCGAAATTAAACAAAACAGCAGCAGAATCTTCCTTTCCCTTGAGTTGGAATAGCCTATGATGAACAATTCCTGGCAGCCAGGAAAAAAAAATAGAGGATTGCTGGGGTAGGAGTTATGGGCCATGTCCCTTCCTATGGCCCCATGTGTATACAAAGGGTAATTAAAGGGTCCACTGAGGTAGTTTCTCAAGAGCCACAGCTCTCAGTTGAAAGGACAGCGGCAGCAGAGGACCAGGCAGTGTGCTTGGGACAGAGGTATTCAGGGGCTCCAAACAGAATTGTGTACAGCCGTGAGGTCCTTTCCCTGGTAGAGCCAAATACCATCTCTGTAGCCACAGGGCCCCTGCTACCCAGTCCTCCCAATGATTATTTACTTGATCATATAACTCCTGGGAAAAATGAGTCTTGTCTTGATGGCATCATCTCTGTCAGTATTGGTGCACCTGTCCTTGCTATTGGTCCACCTGATACATGTCCCAAAGAAGAGTTGCCCAGGACCCCCTTTACATGAAGAATAGTGTTCAGATATGGATAGTAGGAAGTTAAGTTTTCTTTAGTCTTAGGAAAACAAAAGATTTAGTCTCAAATTATGACAATAAACTCTTTTTTTTTTTTTTTTTTTTTGTCTTCTAGGTCTCCAGAGTTCTCGGAGTAACCCCTCCATCCAAGCCACACTTAATAAGACAGTGCTTTCCTCCTCCCTAAATAGCCACCCACAATCATCTGTCCCCAGTGCCTCTGCTCTTCACCCTTCGCTCCGTCATTTTTCCCGTAGCAACCCATCCCTTTCCACCACAAACCTGAGTGGCCCTTCTCGGCGGAGGCAGCCTCCCGTCAGCCCTCTTACACTTTCTCCTGGCCCCGAAGCAAATCAACTTCTCAACAGACAGTTCTCTTCAACCAGCTCAGGAAACCAGTTTCCTGCCTCCCAGGTAAAAAACAAAACTACGTTAAACAGACTGAAGCTTAGAGGAATTGCTTTCCTTCTGTGGGTTATTCTGGGTTAGATCCATTGCACCAAGCAGCCATGAGGTCTCAAATCCAGTCACTTCTTACTTACATGTGAAATCAGAGCAGAAATGTGAATAGTTCAGAAAGCATTAATGGTTTTCTAATAACTGATTTGCTGTGTTGATTATTCTTAGGCAAATAAAAAAAAAAAACAGTTTGCAGTCACTACACCTCATGAACTTGGGGTGGGGAAAAGGGTAGGTTATAGAGGAAGCAGTCCAGATATGTCCAAAATGGCTAAGGAAAACCAGGTTAGGATTTTAAAGCTGGAATGGAAAGTCAGTAATTGACTCTATCAAGGGAAAGCCAAAAAAGATATTTAATATTTTCCCAAAGTTAAGAAATGAGTCCTCTTCCCTAGTTATATCTACCGATTTGAGAAACAATACCTTTATTGCCCATCAAATACTAGGTATTATAAGGATTGTGTCTCTATAAGAAGCCTAAAAGAAGTCCATTTAGAAAGAGGTACATTTTTTTTTAACATTTTTATTGTAGTTTGGGTGAAAGTTTACAGAGAAAATTAGTTTCCCATTCAACAATTTGTACACATTTTATTTCGTGACGTTAGTTGCAATCCCCTCAATGTAACAGCACTCTTCCTACTTCCTCCCTGGCTTCCCTATTTCCATTCACTGGTCTTTCCTGTCCTTTCCTGCCTTCTGAACTTTGATTTTGGACATATGCTGCCCTTTTAGTCTTACATATTTGATTGTTCTGAGGAGCACATGAAAACGCACATTTTAGTCAAGAGCTTGTTACAGAAATATAGGAGTTGAAACTGCATATTTTGACTTGTTGACTTTTTTTAGCTCTACACTCTTCGGGTTGTTCTCCTTACCACAGTCATCAGTGAATATATTTTTAACCTATTGGTCACTCCTTAGATACATTATAACTTCATAACTACTCATCACTTCTCCATAAATGAGTAATAATTTAGCAAAGTGAAGTTGACAGAGCACAACAGAAGGAGTTAGAAGACCTAGTTATTAGTCACTCTTTACCAATTACCAATTACTAGCACAGAATCTTGATTATATGAGTAATCTCTTTGAGGAGAGGGTGAAAAGACATTTCATAATTGCTTTTTGATAACTTTTTTATGTTACTGGATTCCCTTTAATTTTATTTTGCTAGATTGTCTTACACGATATACAAACTATTATTCTTGCCTTCTAGATATATTTTAAGGAGACTGTGTGGGTAGGGAAGGAGCTCTGGTGGTATGGTGCTTAAGGTGTTTGACTGCTAAC